ATCTGACGGTATGAAGTGTCTGCTCATAGACGTCAATCAGCCGCGCTTGTAGAGTGGGCGGACAGTTTGTTTCCCCCTAGTTGAATTGACATAAAGTTGATAAGTCACATCAAATAGCTTTATGGGGGACGTCACATCAATTTAAACCTTATATGCAGAGCAAATCTTAAATTGGCAGCGAATCTTCTAACGGGGGTTCAAGCCACTTGAACCCGACCTCGGAGACGGGACACTTCGGAATATCAGTGGCAGGAATCGATGTATCACTTCGGAGAGGCTTCGGGGGGTCGGAGTGGTTCCGAGGCTCATAAAAAGGAAATCTGTTGACCTCCAAAAATGGCTCCAACAGGCACCCTCGCTTCGTCCCCTCGAAACCTTAACTTGTGAATTGAATTCATATTATAGAGAAATGATGTGAAATGGGCTAAGGCGGGTTAATGGGCCTAAGTTCGAGCCCAGTACGAGGTGAGCAAAGTGATAGGCACTTCGGCTAGGCGCACAACACTAATGGCCCTAGCTCGGGTCCAATAAGGTGGCCCAATATGGAGTGATAATTCATAGGCGTAACAATCAGCCCTTTATTTCCATGGCAACCAATGGCACATAACTAAGCTGTAGGGGAAAAAAAGAGGCACCTGGAAGTGATGTTTTAGAAAAATGAATTTTTCTAAAGAACTTAATAGCAAAGCACAAAAAACTTGTGTTCCACATATATGGTAATGGGTCCAGGATCTGTGTGTTAATATTTAGTTTTAATCATGTTACGAATCGATAATCACAATCCAATAAATTAATAGAAACGAATTCATACTTGCGGAAGTCATTATTGATATGAATAATAGTTGTAATAGTAGTCAAGATCTTCCATTCCTTGCTCCTCACAAAGCATTAGCTATCAATGGGGCAAGCCAATAAAAATATATGGAGAGGAGAGGGGATCTAGCCTTTATATATAGGAAATAATTGAGCCGTTCCATTACGACTAGAATTCTAATTAGGATTTTATTTCCGACCCACATACTTAAAATTACCACATCATATTAATTACAACTCTTAAGGTGTAAAAGACCCAATTGATCACTTAATAAATTTGGCCAAAACACAAATATCATTATGAGTCATACATCTAACTCGTAAAATTTTGCAATCGAATGTGAAGTCACATATAAAATTATTCCAACACTCTGTACACAGTTAGAATTTCCCTCGTAATTTATTGCACATTTCAAGCTTAGGTGTTAAGTTCTCACAACACTCCTCGTGCCTGTGAGTTGTGAATATCAATTCGATAGCATGCATCTTAAAGAGGAGGCTTTACATAGTTGTGCAACATCACACTTTCCAAACAGAGTTACATTACAGATCCAAATCTTGTGAGAGGGAACTGTCTGGAAAGGACCCACCCTAATAGAGATAAGAATGAAATGAAATGAACAATGCCCTCTACCACCAGTTGTGTCTAATACCAGTTTATGTGATAGTGTCAAGTATCAAATATAATTTTTTTTTCATTGTTAAGCTCGATGAGTGTCCTAAATACCAATAAATCCTGTTTTTAAGTCTACAGATTTGTACAAACCCTAGTACTTCACTCTTGAGGAGAAAGATTGAAACAAAACTCTCGAAAAGAGAGATTCAATTGTAACAATCTTTCTCTAAATATTTAAAATCCTTTTTCTCCAAATTTAGTTTAGAAATAATTTTATCATTTTAATTACATTCCATTATTATCAAATAGACCACATACCCTTTCGTTAACAATGTATTATTAGGGGGTGTTTGATAGATATTTTTATGTAAAAATGTATTTTAAAATAGTAAATTGATGTGAAATGTGTGGTTGAGAAATAAAAAATTTTTTTTGATTTACGTGTAATATTATTTTAATAAAAAATGTGTGGTTGAAAAGAAAGCGAGAAAAATACATTTTGAAAAAAATGGTTACCAAACGAGGCCTAAATTTTGGATCATGTTATACGTATATCGGAGTGTCCACCTCTCACATGGAGGAGGATCCGTTTCAAATAAAATATGATTTATTCAAAGTGAGTTGGCTCCATATGAGGAGGATGGACAACCTGATGAACACAATTTGATATACAAGTAACATTATTCATAAATTTTTGAATTGATTGTTTTTCCTTGTAATTTTACAAACTGCTTGGTTTTAAAATGTTAAGACTTAAGAGTTTTATTGTAAAAGAGAAAAAAGCTCAGAAACCTAATTTCTCAGAAAGTGAATATGGGGAAAATATGAAGAAGAAACTATTTTTTTTTTTTTTTTTGGCCCTTAAAAAATAACCTTAACAATGGTAAAAATGGAATTTGATTGCAAAATATGTTTCTAATTTCCAAAATTACAGAGACATTTCTTATCTATATAATAAAACAGCCTCCCGGGACATAATCCAGTGGTGCAAAGGACATGAGTGAGGTTATGCTTTGTTGGCAGTCACAGCATGAGGGTTCAATTTCTAAGACATGAAATTGAACTCCTTGTAGGCGCAGTGTACAAATAATTTTTGTTCCCTAATTTATTGGATCACATCTTGTGATTTACCTTTCTCACAAAATTTTAGGGATAAAACAGCGTGAGCCCTCAAATGAGGTTCAACCTTTTTTTTTTCTAATAAAACATCGCTAAAACCTATGCCAGTTTTTGTCGTCTCACAGCCCAGGTTTACACCTACAGTTAAATGGCAGTATCCAGACTAACTCAAAACTTTCTTTTAAGTCCTTATGTTCTACTAAATTACATATCCTTCCAAAAGTAACTGCCCAAATTTTGAATTTGAATAACCACACCCCCATCATTTTAGAGTTTCACCCCACCACAACTGGCCCATTTTCTTGATTTTCCAACGGTGAAATGGCCGGTCTGCATACCGCCCTGAGGCCGCAACCACCGTCTTCCGCCGCCAACAATCATTCCTTCATCGCGAAGCTTCTCCTCCTCCTGACCCTTCTCCCTTTATCGCTTGCTCTTTTTGCTTTCTTTCTTCAGTGGCGAGGCGGTGGCGTCGACGATCCAATCTCCCGATGGTCGCTCGATGAGTCCCATAAGTTCCCTGGTATGGACTCCTCCCCTCTGGCCACCGTGGGACACTCATCTTCTTTGCATTCCTCTGATTGTTCTATGCTGTTGGGCCATTCCAACACGGCGTCGTTTCCTTACTTCAGAGACTGGAAATTTAAATTTGAATCCGATCTGAAGCCCAAGGTCTGATTTTTGTTTTGTTATTTTTATCTTTCTTGTAAGTTTTTCGAGGTGATCTGTCATTGTGGTTTTGTTATCTTGGTTAGTGTGATTTTAGTTTTGTTTGGTTTTGTGATTTATGTTTTTGGGTCTTGCATCTGGGTTCAAGAAAATTAAACAGAAATCTTGTTTTTATGGCATTTCTGGATTTGCAGAGCAAATAATACAATTGGTTAGATTTATTTCTTTGATTTCATGATTTTTGGACACTGATGGGGAATAATTTCTTATTTCTCAGATAATTAATTTTGTCTTCATTTTTGCATTTAATGCAAAATGCAAAGTAAATCTTTGAAGGATCAATGCATATTAGGATTAGGGGGAGGCGCACTTCTTTCCCGAGAACTGGGAATTCTATTTCTTTTTCGAGTACATGGAGTTAGAGATGTTTATATAAGACCATAGCTGTTACTATTGGTACACAGCCTTCATAAATCATGGAATGATAGGACTTTTTCAGCTTTTGAAATATATGGCACTGGTATTTCATTTCTTTCATGCCGTTTGGTCTCATTTGAAGTTTATATGAAGCCTATCCTCAAATTGAGGATGACATTATAGAAATAATAAATTATCATAGAGTTGAGAATTGTCCACGAAGAGAATTGACTTAGATTTTGACGCACATTCATCATCGAATTGAAATGTTGGCTCGATATACTTGTCATGAAAAATTTATACCAACAATTACATCCAATCAAAAAATACACTATGGATGTCCCTTTACTCATGGTGATTTACCCGCCAAAAACAAATTGCACAGATGATTGACCCCAGTTCTTCACATTTCAGAATTGATTTCATTGTAAATTTTGTTTTCTAGTAACTAGTGTTTCAGTTCAAACTATTGGTAATGGCCTTATTATATTCCTCCATTATGTGCAGATATGTATTACCACAAGTACAGCTGCTGGCTTAGAGCAGATTTTGCCATGGATGTTCTATCATAAAGTTGTCGGGGTGTCAACCTTTTTTCTTTTTGTTGAAGGGAAGGCTGCATCTCCTGCTGTGGCCAAAGTCCTTGAATCCATTCCTGTAAGTTGTGTCCTGTCTAGTCGGTTTCTTTTGCTGCTTTTTAAGATTAGTTTATGCACTTTCGGGTCACGATTTGATCTGCTTAAACACTGCATCATCAAACACTCTTGTGTGGTTCGTTGTTTCTTACTTTACCAGTTACACAAATGAAATAAAGAAAAACCCATTAGCTGTCCTTTAAACACAATGGAGAGGTGTACACTACAAAGAAATGTGACCAGAGGATAGGACTGATATATGGGCTCGTCAGTTGAAAAAGTCACTAGGTGTGACTAATAAAATACTAAGCGGTATGTGAGATGCTTCTTTGTAAGTGAACAATCTTTCTCGTGATAAACATGTACACCCAAAGTTACATGTTTAAAAACATGGCCCTTTTTTAACTTCCTGTAACCAGATCCCTCAGTCACGTAACTGAATTTCAGCTGTATAGATGGTTTATGATTATATAAGTAATATTGGCTGCAGTATTCTTACAGAGAAATTTTCTAATTAGTTGATTTGAGCTGACAACGGGCAATTATATTCCCCAAAAATACTGAATAATCTGTTACCTCATAATATACAAAGGATAATGTTATCTCAATAAAATGCTGAATAAGTCATTATTGTAGGATGTCTTTGAACATGAAAACTATGCCCCCATTTGGCCCCCATTCTCTTTCTCATTATTTTTCTCTCTCTTATTTTCAACCACACAATCTTTCATAAAATAATATTATACGCAAGTCGAAAACATTTCATTCTTTTTCAACTACACATTTTTCAAAATAACACTATTTCAACCATTAAAATTTGGAAAGAATGGGAGCCAAGCGGGGGCTAAATCTGGTCTTGGTATCTTCAAAAGGCAATTGAATGGAGGGGTGACTGTTTTTAGTTTTTAACATAAAAGTCTAGTTTTATTTCAGAATTCGAAGATGTTACGATTTTCCTTTTCTCTGCCTTGGTTAAGGTAGCACAGTCATTCTGCTATTTAGAGCATGTTCAAAAGAATCTTTATTTGTAAAAAGCATCTCATGTTTAACAGAGAGCACTTTTTATTTAGAGATTATTCCATCAATGCTATTAATTTTAGCTATGCATTTTTTTTCAAGAGATATTTGTTGATTTTTCTCCATCTTTTATTTAACGTATCGTTTTATATATTGTTAATTCAAATAAAATTTGAATAATTTAAGAAATAGGGTATTGAAATTTGTAACAATGAAACTCAATAAATAAAAATAAGGAGTGAGTTTGGCTCTCCAAATTTGGAAAGTCGAACCTACTCAGAATAAAGAGTTTTTTGGAGCTTATTTTTAAATATCGATTCTAAAATAGAGAGTATCTTGTGTTTTGAGAGTTTCTTGGAGATGCTTAGGAGCTTAGTATTTAACCTACCCAACATTATTTGCCTCTGTACACGTGACAAAGTGATTTGGTGGGTAGCATGTGAGAAAAGAAGTTAAATGGAGCTTCTTTTGTTGAGTCTTAGGACTGTTATGTGGCTTCCATTTGGTAGTTGGTCTCTGAGAGAAGTGGGATAGTAGTTGCCAGTATTTTGTCTACAGGAAATCAGTGGTAAACTAGAATTCATCTGTAAATCTGACCAGGGTATCAAGTTGCCAATTTCTATCCTTGCCTCCTGTCTAAACTCACCCCATTTATTTTTCTCAAAGTACATGTCGGATAGGGACTAGATTACCATATAACTTATCGTGATGATATCTTTTCAGGATTCATGTTAGCTGTCACTTCAATTTGACTATTATATTATTCCATGTTAACAGTGTAATATTATCATTTCAAAATAAATGGGTTACAAAATATGTTTATCCTTTCAGGGAGTGAAAGTAATATACCGAACCAAAGAGCTGGAAGAGCAACAAGCTAGGAGGTCAGTCACTTCTTATGTGTCTGGAGCTTGCTTGACAGCTTAGATAGATTATATGAGATAGACAAAATGATCCAATGGTTCATTGGATGCTCTTTAACATTTTTTTAATCCTAAGCAAACATTTATCTTTCATCCCGAATCTTACTATAAGCTCTCTGGAATTAGTGACTTGATCTCTAAAGTGCAGAAATCTTCATATGATATATTAGCAGTCGTTATAATTCTCTTACACTATTTCTCCCTGATGCTTCAGCCGGATCTGGAATGAAACATGGCTGTCAAGTTTCTTCTACAAGCCTTGCAATTATGAGCTTTTCGTGAAGCAATCTCTGAACATGGAGATGGCTATTGTTATGGCAAGGGTATGGATTATTACAAATGTGGTAGAAATGTATCATTTTTCTGGTAGAGTTAATCAAATATTTTGTGTATTATAATTCTAGGATGCTGGTGCTGACTGGATAATTCATCTGGACACTGATGAATTGTTACATCCAGCCGGTGCTCGAGAGTATTCTTTGAGGCAATTGCTACTTGACGTACCTGGGAATGTGAACATGGTTATCTTTCCCAACTATGTAAGTAATTTGGTGTCTCTTTGTTTCGGTGTGGGAGATATACATAAAAAACTCTGTTATTTGTGCTCACTGTATTCTTGACACAATTGAAACTATCCAGTTTAACTTAACAAACTAATTGGAAAAGAGAGAGATAAGTCTGTGATCTTCTCAAGTTTCGCCCTGTTTTTTTCCCCTTTTCAGGAGAGCAGCGTTGAACGAGATGACATCAAGGAACCTTTCACAGAGGTAACTTTTGCAATTCTAGTTTCTAGATTTACCTGATTTTCTTGCACTGTTCACCTGCAGATTTATACAATATATAATTTTATTTTATTTTAAATTTTTTGGTTTATAAATATTGCAATTTAAGGAATATATGGAGCACAGTGTAAGTACAGCCGGAATTATGTCGTTTTAAATTTTTTCCCTTATGTATGGTAAATTTTGTCAATTATTTATACCCCACCCCATCCCAAAATCTGCTTTGGTTAGTAGACTGGACTGTTTAATAGATATTTGTGGCAGAAAGCCTCTTCATACCATGATATCTTTACTGATTTGAGCATTAATTCATTAGAAATGATTTGCATTCATTCCTCGTGCATCTGTTGTTCAGGTATCGATGTTCAAGAAGAATTATGATCATTTAACAAAGGACACTTATTTTGGCATGTATAAGGAGTCAACCCGTGGCAATCCAAACTACTTTTTGACCTACGGAAATGGGAAATCAGCTGCTCGAGTCCAAGACCATCTTCGTCCCAATGGTGCACACAGATGGCACAATTACATGAAAACTCCAAAGTAAGTTGCTTTATTTATGCACACAGATGTTGTATGCACTTCTTTAAGGCACTAGGTATATTTTGCTGCTTGTAGTATACAATCCACATATGCCCTACCATCTTTCTGTTTTCGTGCTGTGCCAAGTTGGCATTGGACTGCCCAGCTGTATTCTGTTCGATAGGCTTTTACATATGTTTTTACATAATGTTTGACAGTGAGATCAAATTGGAAGAGGCTGCTGTTTTACATTACACATATTCCAAGTTTTCTGACTTGACTTCTAGGCGGGATCGATGTGGTTGTAAGCCTACAAAGGAGGATGTTAAACGATGCTTTATGTTGGAATTTGATAGAGCTGTGAGTATTGTGCAGTTACATATTTTTTCTTTGTTGTTGGTTTAATAATTTTCTGCATATTGTTGGCACAAAGGACATTTATTTATCCTAGCTGAAAGCCATTTTAACAGGTTTAAGCAAAACTTGCGCTCAAGGAATTCATAAGCGTGTTTGGTTAGGAAAACACGCCTTTATTGTTAGACAATTTATGACAACAACTAAGCAAAAAAATTGTAGCAGTTAATAGGTGTAATCAATCTATTAATTGTTATGGATGCAAAAAGTGTTATCATTTTAGTAAAATAATTATCTTGAAATTCAAGTGCTGGGATGAGATTTTCTTGCTCAGAAACACTCAAGGAACACTGACTAAATAATTTGGTTTAGAATTATATAAATACTTGTTCTATTCAGTGTTAAATAAGCATTATTTTCATGTGCCTAAAAGAAAAATCTACGACTTAGTATGATAAATGTGAAGTTGCAAAAATGATCTTGCATTGAATTTTTATATTTTCTCTTTCAACAATAAGCATCATTTTAAGTTTGCTTGACTTTTGACTTGAGTTACTATCTAGGCATGTCGAGGTCAATTGAGCTCATCTTAATGCACATATTCACTCCATGAATGTAATTTCTTTCAGTTCACTTTTATTTTAGCTTCTTTTTTTGCTTCTGAATTAAATTTGTAAATGAGTCGGTTCTAAATAATCATGCAAGCGAATCATCCAAATTTTTAATTGTTTAATAGAATTTTGAAAATAGCTGTTTGGATGATGTTCCCATGTGAAATGTGTCTATATTATCCTCACTTAATAGGAACTTTACTCTTGGGTTCTTGCCACTTTGCTTAATGCAATGGGTTTGATTTTGTCTTGGACTGGTCCATTTAATATGCTTCCTTGAATTAAGATTTAACCCAATCCTAACTTCCATTCCAAATGGTGGAGAACTCCCCTGCCACCGGAGAAAAAGCTTGCAGAAGATTTAAAAAGATCTTATAACTTGTCCAACTTTGAGGTTGTAATGGTATATTCTTGGGTCCATTAACAGAATCCTGTTTCCTGAACTTCAAAAATATATAGTTCAGTTGATTTCTTTCAAAGTTTCTCAAATGGATGATTCATTTGATTATAGGAAAAGTACATTCTATATTTTTATTTATAGGGTTCCAAACGTGCTCATCATTATGAGCAACCTCCTTTCCTCGCTCATTCCCAAAGGGCTGTTTCAGTTGAGTTGTACCCATAAACAGGAGTTTTTTTTTTTTTTGCTCATCGCTATGTTGTATGAATATTATTTTTCATATATTCAAAATTAATATAAATCCTTTTATATACTTTTTAGTTTGATATTCATGCTGACAGGTGTTTGTGATTTAACTATAGGCATTTATAATTGCTTCAACTGCCACAGAGGAGGAGATGTTAAACTGGTAATGTTCCAAGTCATTGGAAATACTGAAGTTCTTTTTTGTTACATCCTGCTGTACATGAATTGCGTTACAAATATACAAGGAACAAAACTGATTTCTTTTTCTCTGCAACAGGTATCGAGAGCATGTTGTGTGGACTGATAGAACTCTCAATTTGAAATTGTTGAGGAAGAGCATTTTAACTCGCATATATGCTCCGATGGTAAGCTTTACTTTCCCTAATCAATTTGGTCGAAAAAGGGTCTTCCATTTAACAAACAGACTTGCTCGTGTTTCAGACCATCATTCAGGGTTTGAGGGAGTCTGGTGTATTTGGTGCTGTCATTGCATCTGCTCAAGGATCTCTCTCGAAGGACAAGTTTTTAGCATCCGTTGCGACCAATAATTCCTCAAGGATGACTTCTGCTTCTGAATCATTTACATCAAGGAAGATAGGTAGGAACATAGAGTCTCAGTCAACAGCTAGAACAACTCTTGAAATTATTCCGTTTGCACCTCACGAACCTGCTGTCCCGCCATTATCTCCCCCTACCATCCAGGATGACGACCTTACAAATGAAGCATAAGTCCCCCGCATGATTGCTGCCTTTTTACTTTCTAATGTGAAAGAACCTGGTTTTTCCTCTCTGGAATACAGAGGACTTGGAAGGATCTAACAAAGCAAGCAGATCAGCGGTTGGGATTCCCGATCATTACCCAAGCGGAGGTGTATATTGTTACAGAAAATATGAGAGAGAGAGAGAGAGAGAGAGAGAGAGAGAGATGCCGGGTTGAGGAGAAGGGGCTTTTTGGCCCTACAACTCGATATTTTAGATATGCTAACAATGGATTATGTACAGATTTCTTCGAGCATTCATCAGCCGGATTATTTTAGTTGTATAGTGCTATTACCATTTCATTGAGCGATATTGTAGTTGACAACATCTCAAACACGACAAAAGCAACTCGCTTTCATCTCTAAGATATAATGAGCTTAATAAGTTAAGTCTCTGCGATCAATCACAGTTATAAGATGCAGTTCATTTAGCTTTTCCAAGAAACTTGACTGAATCCCACCCAGCTCTCAGATATATATGGAAATATCCACTTCGATTCTGAAGCAAATTGCTGTGAAGGCAGATTTATAGTTACAAAATGGCGATCAATTCTGGGCCTTTAGTGTTCAGGTAGAAACCTCTCACGTGTTGCTACGTTCTTCAAATTTACAGAATCATCCCACTGATTCGTCCTCAATTACATTTCTTGTACCTTCTACTAGATTACTTTCCAATGGGTGGGTTGTCACCATGAGATTGGTCCATATCATCATTTGCTTGGGCAAACTTGAGGGCCGTATCCACCTCCTTTTATAGTGTCAAACTTGTCAACATTATCGGGATTAACAAAATTCTAAATCCAACACCAGCTCAGGATCGATATATGAATTCCAATCAATTCATACATAGGTTTATCACAGGGAAGGCCATTGATATTTGTCCAGTATCGCTATTTTGCATCATTCAATGCCTCTTCCCCAGCAGAAGCTTTCCACTCATCCACACTGGAAGCCAAAATCTTGTATCTATTTCCCATGATGGCACGCCAGCATGCTTGTATCCTTCAATGAGAAACGATAATAGGATAAATCAGACTTCACAGTTCCCATCACATAAATTGCATTTTCCATGCTAAATTATGACAAATTTTTCACAGCTTTGCGCGAGAGAATAAAAAAGAAGGAAAAAGGACCATGTGCACAGCCCCCTCAACAGAAGATACATGTAAAGTCTACTAATTAAATGAAACTGCAACTATTTTACATAATTAAGTTTTCAACTATTATTTTTTCTCTTCTTTTTTATGGTGAAAGAAAAAAAGTTAGAAGAAGAGAAGCCTACACTCGTGCAAAAAACTAATGCTTGACACAAAGAAAGTAATAGTTAAGGAAACTTAATGTACTAAGTTTAAAATAGTAGTAATTGAAGCATGGACGTACCAATTTTACGACGAACAAGAAAAGAAGGAAGAAAGAAAGAAAGGGAATCAAAGAAGAGGAGATTACGAAAAAGAAGAACGCAATTTATTCATATATTCAAGAGTGCATATTACAATGTATAAACCCCAGTGTTATAAATGCCCTGCCAATGTGTGATGCTTGGCCAAAACGTCAAGTCAAGTGGCTTGGCGCCTTATTTGGCGATCAATGGTTACCGTTGACCTTTAAGGCGCGTCTAGGCACAATTATGCACGCTTTGCGCCTAGGCATGTATTATCATCCTTTTTTTATTTTTTATTTTGTGTTGTTAAAAATTATTAATGGTTGGATTGTAGAGGGTTGTGATGATGACGAGGAGTTGATGGGGGTGAAAAATGATATCTTACAACCTTCGACAAGTACTAGAAATGCTCAGAATGAAATAAGGGAGCCCGATGAAGAGGATTTTGTATCGAAAGACACAAAGGATGAATTAGATGAAGAAGTGGATATTGAATTGGAGTCCAATAAAGAGTTAGATAAGATTTAAGTTCCTATGCTATTTATTTGCTATTTTGTATTTAAATTTGAAACTCATCTTTTTATTGGAAACTTTGAAAAAATGCATAAAGTTGCTATAAATCTATTTTAAATGTTTAGTGGGTGTTATTTTTAATTATTAAATAATTTTTTGATTTATTAAAAATTAAAAGAATATTAAAATAAGAAAATGCCTTTTTACGTTTTTTTACGCCTAAGCTCGCGTAGCCTATAACTTGGTCTCAACGCATCACCTCTCATTACGCCATTTAGAACATTGATAAACCCTCAATATATAGAGCAAATAATCCAAAATTAATAAAACTTCTAATAAACTAGAACTTTATCAAAATATTAAACCTAACCTAATCTAATTTAACCAAACATAATTAAAAAAAAAAAAAAAACCAAGTAAGTAAAAACAACAATTTGTTGCTTTGAGTATGTATATTGCCAACACAACGATGGATGAAATACCTTGAGCCTACCTAATCCCTTTCCCAGATGAACTGAGTTGTGATAATTGCGATACCAAAGTCCCTCCACCTCTGAAGCAACAAACTTGTGCATTCATAGATACACCAACTCTCTCGAACAGAAGCTTCAGTAAGTTAATCTAAAGAGACTATATGCATTTCTCGTATGGCGATCAACAAAGAAATAAAACCCCAAAAAAAAAAGACACCGCCATAATCAAATTTTAAACCATAATAGGAAAAAGGAAAGAAGTTATTAGACCAGATTATGCATCACGCATGCACGTTACCACATGGCATTTGTTATGGCTGCCATTAGTTATGAAATATAAGGTACGTTAAACAACATAAAAATTCTCATGCATGCAATGTATATAAAGTGGCACTGGCACACTTGTCTTAGACCCTTCAAAATTTTTGTAGATATGCATATTTTTTAACTTTTACAAAGGGTGTGAAATTAATCAAACCCTTCGTTCTACTGCACCTATGTGCACCAGGAATGCCCTGATAAAGAAAACTAACCCACATGTCGTCCTTTAGAACTGATTTACTTAATTTAACTATCGTTTTGTTTCTTTAGTTCTCTTAATCTTTTTTCCATTCCAGTGCTCGCAAAGCACAAGTTACTTGGAATAAATCTTTCAACATTCTCTTCAATTGCAAAAAATAGATAATTCTGAAGAGTAAAAAGCATGCAGCACACTAATTCTTGATCAAAATCCTTGACCCTAAAGTTCTTGCTTTGACTTTATAGAAACGTGGAAAGAGGAAAAAGGAAATGACATTTTCGTACAATTGCCCATGTTGGAAGAAAAGGGGTCGCCCATGTGGTTGACCCGACCCGATTTGCATGAAAATGAAATATGGAAGGAAGAGTTGAAAATTGAATTCAAAAAGTTAACTCCCTCAATCTATAACTTCTGTTACGCCCCTAACTGAACCGCTTCGAAATATCAGGCGCACCACTCCTTGAAGCGTCGCGTCTCCATCCGAAGTGGTTCCGAAGTGATTCGACGACCATGAACTTAACACGCTGCAAAGCGCAGGCTAGATCCATTGAATCAGCCGAAGTGCCCCCTGACGCCGAAGCGTTAGTGACCAATCCTTACGAGATGCATTTACAATGAGCTCCAAAATTCTTTTCAATTGTTTGTTCGAGGTTTCCACCTGTCCACTTGTCTGATGGTGGTAAGGAGTGGCAATTCGATGTTGTACCTCGTACTTATGCAGCACTGCCTGGAATAACCGATTGCGGAAGTGAGTTTCACCATCACTTACTATGGTCCTAGGTGATCCATAGTGGTTAAAGATGTGTTTCTTTATGAAGTCTACCACTATCCTTGTGTCATTTGTAGGTAATGCTTTAGCTTCTACCCATTTAGAGACATAGTCCACTGCCACTAGGATGTACCGATTGTTATAAGATGATGGAAAAGGACTCATAAAATCAACCCCCCAAACATCAAATATTTCCACCTCCAAAATGTTGTTAAGTGGCATCTCGTGACGCGCTAATATGTTACATGTTCTCTGACATTTATCACATGATCTGCAGAAATTGTGATAGTCTTTGAACAATGTAGGCCAAAAGAAACCACATTGAAGCACCTTTATTGCTGTTTTAGTGGGGCCAAAGTGTCTTCCATAAGCCGAAGCATGAACCCATGAAAGGATAGGTTTCATCTCATCCTCTGGCACACATCTCCTAATGATCTGGTCTGCCCATCTCCTGTATAAATTTGAATCATCCCAATAATAGAATTTCGCTTCATGAAGCAACTTCTTCTGCTGATAGGTGAGATTAGGATCCATATAGCCACTAGCTAAGTAATTAACAATGTATGCATACCACGGAACCTTTTCTATTTGCAATAACTACTCATCTGGGAAGACCTCATTAATATCCACATCATCTGAATCATGCAGTAGCTCTAGCCTCGATAAATGATTCGCTATCTGATTTTCTGTACCCTTTTGTCGTGAATTTCAATGTCAAACTCTTGTAGTAATAGAACCCATCGAATCAGCCTAGGTTTAGCATCCTTCTTCTCAAACAGATATTTCAATGCTGCATGGTCAGTGTAGACTATCACCTTTGAACCAATCAGATAGGAACGAAATTTGTCGAAAGCAAAGACCACTACTAGCATCTCTTTTTCCGTTGTTGCAAAGTTGATCTGAGCATCTGTCAAGGTTTTGCTGGCATAGTAGATTACATGTAACACTTTTCCTTTACGTTGGCCAAGCACTGCTCCCACTACAAACTCACTAGCATCACACATAAGTTCGAAAGGTAGATCCCAATTAGGTGCTACTATTACAGGTGTAGAAGTTAAATTTTCTTTCAAAGTATTAAAGGCATTTAAGCACGCATCAGAAAAGTGAAATGACACATCCTTCTCCAATAGATTACACAGAGGTTTTGTAGTTTTTGAGAACTCCTTAATGAACCTTCTATAAAATCTTGCATGTCCTAAGAAGCTTCTGATTCCCTTAACTGAATTAGGAGGCTACAATTTTTCAGTCACTTGTATCTTGGCTTTGTCAACTTCAATGCAAGGAAATCTTGTGGCCCAGCACTATCCCCTATTTTACCATGAAATGGCATTTTCCTTATTTAGCACTAGGTTCTTCTCTTCGCAATACAAGAGCCAACCGATCCAAGCAGTCATCAAATGAATCTCCAAACACAGAAAAATCATCCATGAATACCTCGATATATTTTTCCATCATGTCAGAGAATATAGCCATTATGTATCGTTGAAAGGTTACAGGTGCATTGCATAAACCAAAAGGCATCCTTCTAAACGTAAAAGTTCCATAGGGGTATGTGAATGTTGTTTTCTCTTGGTCTTCTGGAACAATATCCGTCCAGAAAGCAGTAAGGAGAATGACCGGCCAACCTCTCCAACATTTGATTAATGAATGGCAATGGAAAAT